TTCAAGTGTTCGTGCCAGAGTTCCCCAAGCTGGAGATGGGCGATACTTCTTCAAGAGCAGGTCGACTTCTCAATTGGCGGATTTCCGTGACCAGGCCATGAACCCAGCTGGGCCGCACTTGATCCAGTGGTGGAAGTGGTGCCAGCGCGATGCCGAGAAGGCGTGCAATATGTTTCTGAAGATGCCGATTCACCGACGGGAAGCAGTCACCCCTGCTGCTCCAATGCCAGAGGCATGGTTGCAGGTAGAGGCGTGGACTCGGCCACGCATGCTCGACGCACTGCCGAAGGACATCCGCGATTGGGTTAATATGAGGGCCCGCCAAGGCAAGGTTGATTATTCACACGTTCGTCTTCTCTACGCGATGAAGACGTTTTCCCCGGGCGGTGCGGACGAGAATGTTCATCTGATCAACTCAGTGCTGAATCCGAACGTCTGTTCGCAACCGCGCGCCGCCCAGATGGAAGTTGTTGAGGTGGAGCGAGAATATCCGGAGGTGCGCCGAGCTTGGGCGTTGCCCGCCAGACCTTCTACTAGCTTATAGAGCCATGGAATCCATCATCTATCACTGCTGTGTTCGACAAGGCAGAGCCGCAGCTGAACCGCAGATGGGTCAACATTCGTAACCACCTTGGTCTTCCTCATGCGATTTCTTTGCGTGCGATTGAACACGCTGCTGCGCTCGCAGAGGCAGAGTTGGGAGCTTCAGTTTCGCATGGGGGGTGCTGGTCTCAACGCGGGATTGCCTCTCACCGACAACCAGCAGGCGCGCCAGCGCTAGATCAGGGAGACGGAAAAGAAACGCGCCGCCGCTCTTCGGCAAACAGTGGCGCAACCAACGCCACCAATTACTGAGCATGCTGCTGCTGTCCACTACTCTTCTACGACGTCTAGCTGGGCCATCCCGCGCTGGTCTTGGACAGAGCGCGGTGTGTGCCAGCGCGGCATCAGCTGCCATTTTGCCCATCCAGGCTTCCCTGTGACGGAGGACCGTTGCATTGCTTGCGGCGCCGAGGACCACAGAGGCAAGGGCTGCGAGGCGCCGGGGGGCGGGGCCGATCCCAGCCGCGAAGCGGCTTGGGAGGAGCACCGCAAGAGAAAAGAACAGGCAGCGGCCACAGGGAAGACAGGCGCCAGGGGGCGTGGCAAAGGACACCCCAAAGGGCGAGGAAAAAGGCAAAGGCAAGGACAAGGACAAGGGCACGGCGAACGCGACCCTCTCTGAGCAACCAACTGGCGCTCCACCGGCGCCGACTGCGCAGGCCGAGGCTGCTTTCGGCGGGGAGTCGTGGAGGGCGTCGTCAGCTACCGCGGCGACGAGGTTTCTGCGACAGGCCGTTGGATTGGACAGCTGGGCCACTGTGGATTTGATTCACCAGAAGGGTCCCGTTTCTGACGCTGTGTATCCAGATGCGCTAAATTTGGCACGTGGCCAGTGCAAATGCCGACGCGGTGCTGGGCGCAGAGGCGTGCCGCGATGCTTCGTGCCTTGGGATGATAACAGTGACAACGTTGATCTCTTCCCTGAAGGGTCCCCGTGGGAACGCGGCTGCACGATTGGACGGGGTGGCCAACGCGCGTTGCGAACGCCGAAGGGCAGGATCTTCAGAATCCAAACGTGGGGTTCTCTACCGTGCATCCTCAAGAGCGAGTTGAACCTTGTCTTGAACGATTTACCAGGCGCCCCTCAGCCCGGCCGCGGCGGCCGCCAGGCAGAGACCCCGACTGCCGCCAGAGCTTCCAGGGCGGTTTCTGACCAGAAGCTGCTGAGGTCGCAACTCAAACACTTGATGGGCGACTTCGGCAAGAGGGGGGTGCAGAACATCCAGTCCAAGCATCGCAACTTGCCTGATATGTACACTACAACGACGACGCCGACGCCGTCACCACCCCTACTCGTTTCGAGGAGTTGAGAAACGACGTGGTGCAGTCTTCAGGGGGTTATACTGACGTGGCCCGCGTGTGGGGGCACTGCAGTGGGTCATCAGTACTTGGCGACCGCGCTCGGAGCACTGACGTCACCCACATGCCACTAATCGACTAGCGATACGGCTGGAACACAGGGTGGAGTGACGACCAGACGACCATCGTGGACGCGATTATATCCCGTGGGGTGGAGACACTTTTCGCTTCGCCGAATTGCGCTCCGTGGGGGAACCACACCAGGAACCTACCAGCAGAAACTTTGGACACCAAGAGGCGATCCGAGACGCCGTGCTTGAGGTTATTAGCGGTGTGTTGCTTCCTACAGTTACTGGTGGGTAGACGTTACATCATCGAAAACAGTGCGCATTCCGACAACTTCACCAAGAGCCCACTCGCGCCGTTGCGGGCGATGCCGTTTCACATGGCATTATTGGACCAGTGCGCTTGTGGGGGGCAGCTCGAAGGACAGCTCATTCGGAAAAGGTCACATCTCCAAGGCCCCCACGAGCTACCGAACCTGCGTGCAGTGCCATGGCGGCCACGAGCACCTCCACCTTCGAGGAGCTGGTCGCGCTGCATCTGCGGCGCAGTGCCCCCAGAAAGAGCGCCGCCGAATCCCCTTGGATTGTCCAGGGGAGATGCGCACCTTTTCTTTCAAAACTTGCTGGTCTGAGTAAGGTTTCGAGGATCGAATGCGTGCTCGGCGACTTACACCAGGTAGCTGTAGACAAAAGTCTTGGCATTCAATGGAACGTTGTCATGGTTCCTTGGTTGCAGGAGCGCCCAGCGTTCAAAAAGAGCCGTGGCTCAAGTGGCTTCATCTGCATCGTGCTCAGGGGCGCTACAGTTATCACGTGCTATGCAAACGCATGGCTCGTGGTATGCGGGTGGTCGGTCGGGGGGTTACCTCCTGATAAACACCGTGGTGATCAGTCGGGGGGGTCTCCTTCCGATAGACACCATTTTTCGAATCTGGCATGTGGTGTGGGAAGTGACAGGGATCCGTCGGGAGGGCCGCCTTTCGATCGACTCCGTAGCTGTGGCGGCTGAGGGGATTTGTCGGGGGGGCTTCCTTTCGACGAGCCTTCAGAGCTAACCAACCCAGCAGTGCCGTCTTGTGAGCCCGTGCAAGCGCATATGCTGGCCATGTTGGCCACGATGGCTGCGAGGATGGATTCCCTCGGGGCCGCGCTGCAGCGAGTTGTGGGCGCACCTGCTATTCCTTCGGCGCGCAGTGGCGTTGTTGGAGCGGAACAGGGGGAACCGCAGGGCAGCGAGTAGGCCGTGGCCGGGCCGCCTCTACGTCAGCCTTCCCACCATCGCCGGGAATTGCAGGACTTGGCGGGTGGCGAACTCCAAGACAACCCGCTGCAACGCCAGAAATATTATGCCGAGAGTGCTCTTTGGCAAGGTGCTGCGCTACGGCGTCGACAGCACCATCGCAGGTCGAATGTCTCTCTGGGAGTGCGCGCGGTGGACCTGAGTGGTCGTCGCGCGCCGACGCCCCGGCCAGGGGGGCAGATTGCCAGAGGCCCTCGCCACTACTTCTTGGTCTTGCCAGCGAGGCCAGACGAGGCAGCATCTTCTTGCGATGTGGCTGCGCAGACTTTGGGGCCAGACGGGCGTCGAGAGCAGGTGGGCGGAATTGCCGGGCAGTCGCCGCCGCGACCCGCTCTGATCTACGCAGCCCTTCTCGGCGCGAAGAGCGAGGCCCCGAAGGCGGTGCAACATCTGCTCGCCCAGGTGAACAACGACCGCGCCAATTTCCCGACCGAGGTAGTTTTCCGCCTGCGCAGCGACCAAGGGTCCGAGTTCATGAATGAGGAGCTCAGCAATTTCTGCCCCTACCACGGCACCCCAAAACATGGGCAGCAGCGTGCGATCCAAACGGAAATGCCTCTGCCGACTCGGCCGTTGGCATCTTGAAGCGCAGGGCCCGGCACCTCTTGAGCGGCAGCAGACTTCCGACAACCTGGTGGGGAGTAGCTACACTTGCTGCAGCTCAGTTGTGCAGAGCTGACGGCGGGTTGGGAGAGTACCCCCAGATACCGTTTGGCACAAGGGCGATGTTGGTGCACGACCCTCCTCCGAGAAACGCTTTTCTGCCACGCGCAGAACCAGCAACGGCGTTCGGCCCCGACAGCGTAGTCCCCAACGGGATGTGGACGTACCAACGAGGCGCTGTGAAGGTCAAGACCAACCTGCAGCCGCGGGGCTTGAACGAGGAGGACGTGAACTGGGTAAATATTAACATGAGCAGCTGGGGCCCGCCTGATGCACCTCCGCCTCTTCCAGAGCCTGAGAATTACGATGCTGGAGCTGAGGTACCTTCGTTCCTGCCAGACGGAGCTGCTGCGCGAGAGACAGCTACTTGCCCAGCTTGCGTGGCAATCCGCCGTAAGAGGCGGCAGCTGGGGCCCCGCAGCTTGGTTGGGAGGGGGGGTCTCAAGGCGCCGCCGCCCCCGCCAGCAGCGCAAGGGCCAGTGCTCGACGCACCTGCTGAAGAGCCTCTGTCAGCCGACGAGGCGGACGAGGAACCCGCGATGCGTCCTCAAGAGGATCGCGTGGCGCCGCCGCCTGTCGTCGCGAAGGTGGCGGCCATCTCCAGCGAGGTTCAGCGCATGAGCGGGGCGTCATCTTTGAATGCTTCCTTGGAGCATCCCCATGTTTGCATAGCTTTGTCTGAAGCTGCCACTTGGGGCTCAGTTGAACAAGACTTTTCGCGCGTTGGTGACGCGGGGGCCCCAGGCACAGATGACATTTTGGACCGCGCCTCCGACGATGGCGACGCGGCGTGGGACATGGATGATGACAGGGCTGTGCACGGAGGCGCTGTTTCACCAGGCGCATGTCTCGATGAACACATTGACCGTCCATCGCAGGCGGCCGACGGCATCGGCGATCCTCCCGAGGCGCAGTTGGGTGGAAGTGTCGACGCCGACGCAGACGAGGACGATGCCCACCTTGATGCGCCAGTGCGGTGGCGTAGGCGAACCCCGATGGGATGTCGACGAGAAGGGCGGCGCCAACCGCGCTATCCCGTCAGCTTCGATTGCGCTGGGGCCGCCGTCCAGGTGGCAGAAGGCCATGTTTTTTTGCACAAGGAGGCGCTGCAACAACTGTTCGCTAAGGGGCCGGAGAAACGCATCGTGACGGCACAGGAAGTCTCGCGCTGCACCGCTGTGGAGCAGGAGTGTTGGAAGCTGGCGGCGGAGGCCGAGCTCGCTACGAACTTCCTCAAGATGGGTGCTTTTCACGAGTCTACGCCGGCCGAGCGAGCTGCGCGCGGGAAGCCGCCGCCGATGACGTGCGCGTGGTCTCAGACAGAGGACCTCTACAAATGCAGGGCGTGTGTCTGCGGGAACATTGCAGAGCCAGGTCCGACTCTCCAATCGTGGACGGCGCAAGCCGAACCGTCATCTTCATTGTGCGCCTTGAAGCTTGGATGTCAACGGAAATGGGCGTTGTCGAAACGCGACGTCACAGGAGCATTCTTGAACGCTGCCATTCCGAAGGGCCGCCTGGTCATTGTCGCTATTTTTGCTCAGTGGGTTCGATGGGGGCTCGTCTCTCCTGGAGTCACGTGGACTTTAGACAAGGCCGTATATGGGCTCAGGGAGTCGCCCAGGTTGTGGGCAGAGGAGCGAGACAAGAAACTTCGAGACCTTCGGTGAGCAGATCCAGACTCTTGCAACAATCGCGTGTTCTATCTGGAGCAGAGCACAGCTGACTTACAGGTGGTACATCAAGGACACCGCAGACACTTCGAAGCAGGTGCTTGGCGTACTGGTGGTTTATGCCGATGATCTTCTGGTGGTGACAGATCTGGGATCCATGAGATCTGCTTTCCTGGCCGCTATGGGATCGACGTGGACACTTGCCAAAGAGGCCATTCTAGAGGTAAGCAGACCTCTGACATTCCTTGGCATAGACGTCACTCTTCTGCACAATGGAGACATCAAGCTTCACCAGGAGCTTTTGTGGACAGTCTTTTGAACAAGTGCGGCATGGGGAACTGCAATGCCATCAAGTGCGTCCAGATGGGCCCGTTGCCGGCAGAACACGACGAACCTGCTTTACCTGTACTCCGGCAGCTACAGGCCTACAGTGGCGACTTTAACTGGCTCGCCACCGGGGCGCGCCCACGCATTTCTTATTACACTTCGTTGTTGGCATTTTCGTGATCAAAGTTCGCGTCTTGGAGCATGGAACTCGCCTAAATATTCTCAGGTATTTGAGGGGCGCGGCGTCCAAGGGAATCCTGCTGACCAGTACTAGCACTGAATCGTCATTGGAGGCGTGGACAGATGCCGGGTACGCTGGTGCCGACGCCCATTCCCAGAGCGGATTGGTTGCGGTGTGGGCTGGGAGCATCGCGGCACGGCGATCTTCCAGACAGTCAGTTTCTTCTTTGTCAACTGCTGAGGCAGAGCTCTACAGTGCGACGCTTGGCTGGCGAATTGTCGAGGGCCCCAGGCATCTCCTGCCCAATTTCGGCGCCGAGATCACGAAGGCGACAGTCTTCATTGACAGCCGGGCTGCTCTGAGCATAGCGGCGCGTGGAGCAAATTGGAGCGTGGGCGCGGGCTCCATGAAGAACATGAGCGTGGAGCAGCAAAGCTTCTGCATTGTCCAACGTCCGGCATGATCGCCGACTGCTCGACGAAACTCGTGGCGAACGCGGTCATCCAGGTGCTCTTCAACGCCATGGGCGGGATCTTCCCGGACAGAACTTTTGAACAACCACAGTCCAGAGCGCGAAAGGCTGAACGCCAAGGCTCGGGGCTGGGCGCGACGAAGCCGGTCTGCCATCGCATCTCCGTCTCTCCTGGGCGTGGGAACCGCGCAGACATCGCAGGCGACGGCCCCGCGCCGTGGAGACAGGTTTCGGTATCTGAGAGCCGGTCGGGAGGACATCCTTCCGATAGGCTCCTGGGCCAAGATCCGTCGGAAGGGCCGCCTTTCGATGGGCGCCGAGATGCCGCTTCTTCTTCTTCTTCGTCTTCTGCGCTGAGGCCAGGGGCGGGTTCGTCGAGCGTGGGGAGGCGCGCTTCTGCGTCGCCTACCATCCGCCAGGTTATTGCTTCCTGGGGCGACGGGCCTGCGCCAGCGAGGAGTGAACAGCCTGCGCCCACGGGGACTGTCTTTGAAAACTGCAGTGGTTGAGTGCCCCACGATGTGCCCGAACCTCGATAACGACGATCCGTTGTGGGGCGAGATATTCAAGCTGTCGTGCGCGAAGTATTCCCCGGACAATCTCGGCAGGGTGCCGGCGTTGCGCAAAAAGTACGGGCATGCCACGAGGGGCTGGCACGCTATGCTCGTGAAGGCCCACCTGCTTGACAACGACACTCTGCGTGATGTCTTGGGTCGTTATCTCCAGGAGCAGACCTCCGAGGTTGCGGGCGACCAGCAGGTCGCCGCCGCGATCCCAGAGAGCGACGAGGAGGGCGATTTCGATGGAGACAGAAAGCTTCCCCCAGGAGCCCCAGCCAAAGAGAAACGGCGGGGTAAGAAGCGCTGCCGACCAGGAGCCAACGAACGCCGGTGGAAGAAGCTGGAGGACACACTGGAACAGTCCACGGCCGGCCGAGACAAGGCCGAGGATGGGGGGGCACGTGGGTCGCACGAGTCCCACTTTATTTGTCTCGTGGGCGGTCGGGCGGGTTTGCGTTCGATTGCCAGCCGCTTCGGGCGGGTCGCCATTCGACGAAGCAGTGCGGTTCTTAATGATCAGAGGTGAGCAGTGTAGAAGTGAGCAGCGCGTTGTATACTATTTGATTTATGCTATAAGCTTACCTCCGGCGTCCGTGACCAAACAGTGAGGCGCCAGCATTGTTCGGGGATTATCGCTTTTTCCTTCTCCTTCCTCCGCTGCTCCAAAGGAGCAGAGGGCTGAGCTTCTGAAAGGGGCGCAAGAGACCTCGCGGGCCAAAGAGACACCTCGCGGGACTAGAACAGCGAAGCGCGACTCTCCTGCCATTGCTCTCCCACTCAATCCTTTTAAGCTTAGGGCTGTAATGAATATTTTCTTGCAACGCACTCACGGCAAACAAGCCGCAGAGGAGGGCGGACAAAGTATCCGTGATGTTGAATGGCTCAAGGCACAACACTCGCCGCTAAGCGCACGCTGACAGAAACCAGTATTCGTTCCATTCTAGTCGTCACCACTGCCATTGTCACTTTCCGAGAGATTGGTGCGCATTTCACGTGATGTCAGAGATATATGATATTTCGCCTCTCGTCGCAGCGGCACGTCATGGCAAAGCCAGATGGAGACGGATTTAGGCCTATAGCATTGTTCTGTTCTTTGTTGCGAATTTGGGCACTCGTGCGACAACCTCTTGCCAGACGGTGGGAGGAAAAGCTTCTGGGGGATCAGGGAGGAGTGCGACAGAGCTGGGTGGCAACGCAACCTGCTTGCTGCATATGCTGTTACACAGAAGATGACATATGCTACCCTCTTCTCCGACTTCGATCAGTTCTACGAGCGCGTGAATCATGGTGTATTGGTTCGCGAAGGTATGGATGCAGCATGTGATTGCCGTGCGCTTGCTGCTGCGTGTGCCCTGTACTCAGGACCCAGAGCGATCGCGTTCCAGGGTGTGATATCCGACGTATTCCGTGTACCAGGCGCAGGACGAGCAGGTTGCAGTATTGCGACGACCCTCGTTGGAGTCCTCCTCTTTCGCGCGCTCACGAAAATTGCGGACGATCATCCAGCTGCACTTACGCAATGTGGTAGATGCTGCATCGGCTCAGGTGTCAGGCGCAGATAGGCATGTGCTCGCGGAGATGACAGACATGAGGCGCGAACTCGTCGAGGGGCTTCAGAGGCTGGTGCGCGTGACCTCGGGCAAGAAGACCTACTTCCTCACGTCGCCGAGTGTTGTGGCTGAGAGGGCTCACCAAAGCTTGGGCCCCCCTTTGGGTTCCAGGGGAAGGTTGTGGTTCGAAATCTTGGGTGTGATGCTGTAGCAGGACGAGCTAGACGGAACCCCGCGGCGAGGATGAGGTTGAGGGAAGGAGCTGGGAGGGCAGCTAGGTTGAGGAGGTTGAGGGCTGCGGGAAGCAGGGTAGGACAAGTCCATCGTGCTGGGCCCCGGGCGGGTTCCCTGAAAGGGGCGCTCTGTGGTTGGGCCCACTGGGAGACAAATCAGGAGTCCAAGGGTCGCCGCCTTACGACGCCTGTACAAGGGCAAATCAGAGGCCTCTGCAGGACTCGAGAAGCAGACCTCCATGCAGGCCAGGGGCATGGACCCCAGGGTGCATTACCAAAGCCAGGTTGTCTTGCAATGGGCCAGGGCCGTCTGGGACAACGCCGTCAAGTTCGAGGTTATTGGGGCAGTTTTGAAGGGGGGTGGTCGCAGAGCTGATGGCCGCGAAAGTTCCGTGGGGCAAGGCGACGCCCCCTGCGCGTGTCCCCGTGCTGACGTTTCGCGAGATTGGGTGGCAGCCCATTCCGACTCGGCTCTTCAAGTCGCACGACGGTGTCACCATCGATCTTTCGCAGCTAGCCCCAGTCGCGGCGCGCGGGTTGGCGGCTGAGGCCGCGCGTGATTCGTCAGACGTTGCTGCGCGAACGGCCTGGAGTGGGAACGTGACTTGGTGCAGATTTATTCTTTGGGATGGTATACAGAGCCTCTGTGGTAAAGGGGTGCGGCCAGGCTGGCAGGGGCATTGCAAGAATTGCTTGAGGTCGACTGTCTCTCCAACCGCGTGGACAATGGATAATATCTATAGTCAGCGGCTCCCCGACGCCAGCGAGTGCCAGATATGCCGCCAAGATGTCGGTTCGCTGTAACATAAACGCTTGTTTTGTTTATTGTTTTTGTTTGTATGATGTTTGTTATGTTTTTTTTTGTTTCCTATATGTTTTTGGTTTGTGTTGTGTTTTCTCTTGTTTCCCCCTCTCTCTTTCTGTGATGCTTGTATGTTGGAAAGGCGAGGGCGCTGCTCTGATGCACTGCTGGCGGCTGCGGCAAATGTCAAGCGATGGCATCGAGACGAGAGAAAGTTCGCGGCAGAATTGCCCCCGCTCCCTCGCGAAATAGTGCCGAAGCCATTGTGCGCGACCGACGCTGGCATGCATTGGATTAATCGCCCGTCGCGTCGATATTTGCCAGGGGGAATTTACTCTCGTGGTTCTGCTCTCCACCCGCGGCATCGTCACTTTCGGAGAGCAGGCTGGTCGCTCGTCAGATTTGATGACGACGTGGGATTCATAGCAGCTTGATCTGGCGCGCGGTCACGTTCCTGGAATGTCGATTTCAGCAGGCGCGGGATGGAGAAGATTATGCAGTGAGAATGGCGAGTGGGTGCGCGTTTGGAGAGTTTTGTTTGCACACCGACTGCGCAGGCATTTTGAAGTGTTTTCGTGGTCGTGCGTGGTCAATGCGCAGCATGAACGAGCGTGCGCACTTGCGGCAGCGCGTGTGGCATGCGCGTTGGGGACGGACTGCGGGCCGCCAGGGTCCGCGCGCACCGCGCAATGCTTGATGTGCGTGGAGGCCGCGCGCCAGAAGCGCACAAGCGCGGCAACGACAAAACCGACGAGTGTGCTAAGTCAGGTGCAGCATGCCTCCCAGACACAACACACTCTTTAAACAAGTTTAAAGCCCTGGTGGGTTTGGCCAAGGGGTTAACCGAGCTTCCAGGGCTTCCAGAGACACTGTAGAATTTCCTGAGAAGGGGGGGTCGGCCAAGAAGAGAAGGCGTCGGCCCCGGGAACCCTCACAGTGCTGCTCGGTGGGATCCCGCTCGATTTTCCCTTTGCTGATTCGAAGACGGCCGACACCGACCCAGAGCTGGAGTTTGTGATTTAGCTGCAAGGGCACCAGTTGCGCATTGCAGACGTGTTCGATCGCAATGGGGATTTCATATTGTCATGTAGTAAAGTAGCTATGTGTACAAGGTGCGGGGGCTACGCGTGGTCGGGCATCCAGAGCCTAGCCGAGCCGTGCGAGCCCCCC